CAATTCTTCTATGGTCTTCCTTATTCACTGTCCAGCTTTCACATGCATTTGAGTTTATTGAAACTACCATAGCTTAGGTCAGGCTCACCTTAGTCCTCAAGCTGACATATTTGCTCTTCAACACTTTAAAAAGGTCTTGTGTAGCACATTGGACTAATGCAATACATCATTTGATTTCTTGACTGCTGCTTCCATGATTATTGATAGTCGATCTAAGAAGAATGAAGTCCTTGACAACTTCATTTTTTTCTCCATTGATAAGAATGTTGTTTATTGGTCCAGTGGTAAAGATTTTTGTCTTCTTTACAATGAGATGCAATCCATACTGATGACTGTGGTCTTTGATCTTCATCAGTAAGTATTTTATGTCCTCTTCACTTTCAGCAAGCAAGGTTGTATCATCTGTGTGTCGCAGGTAGTTAATGACTCTTCCTCCAATCTTGATGCCATGCTTTTCTTCACGTAACTCAGCTTCTTGGATTATTTGCTCAGCATACACGTTGAATAAATAAGGTGTAAGAATACAATCTGCTGCACACCTTTCTTAATTTTAAACCTTTCAGTGTTCCCATATTGCTCAATTAAAATATATATACATACATATATATTCAAAGTTTAAAAATTGCATTGCATTGTTGTCTTTTACAAACTATTAAAAATTGAGTATATATATATATATATATATATATATATATATATATACACATGAACAACAACAACATATATACACTAATTTTTTTTAAAATTCCATCATATTATTATTCTCTTTTACAAACTATGTTTTTTACTTACTAAAATAACATAAAAACCTTTCCTTTTCAATAATATTCACTACTATCTTATTTCTAAATCACTAGAAAGTATTCACACTGACAGAAAATTCTGCTTGTTTTATCACAATTATAAACATAATGATTTTTAGTATGCTGATAATAATGCTGAATACCCTTGCATTTAAAACTTTTCCCACATCACTAAGTGTCAGAATTGATTCAGTGCATACAACATTGACTTTTAGTACAATAAATTCTATACTCTTTCCAAGAGAGGATAATGCTACATATTATGTATGACTCTTCTTAGAACTACTAAGTCCTTTTCAAATTTTGTGAAAATATCTAATAAAATTTAGAGTTAAGAGAATTATAGCTATTTTAGCTATGCTCAAAGGTTGTATCCATCTGAACAAAAACAAAACCATTTGATATTTTCAAGGGACTACCAAAAATAAAGTAAAAATTCAAGTTCTCTTGACCACATACTACAGTACGAAATACAGTTTACATTATGACCCAACACAAACTTGTTTCATAATATATACTTACTCTTAATGCATACAGTGAACACTAGTCTAGATTCTTCTATTTTTTAAAACTGTGGTCAAGTATTATGGAATTGACATTTGATCACCATCCACAGTTTAATTTGTTTTTGTTTGTTTTTTTGTTTTGTTTTGTTTTTTTAAAGGGTAGTCAACAGGCTTAAAATATTCAGAATCACTAAAAAAGGTATTGTGAGAGATGAGCTAAAGTATACCTCAAAACCTTTTGACAAAGTGGTTAGTACATGAGGTTAACCAACAAATATATCAGAATCTTCACTTTCAGTCAACAGTTTTTTCTAAAGTTGATTGCAGGTGCTTATTTTCCTGCTTCAGTGTTCCCACACAGACACACTAATGATAGACGGCAATTTTAAAAGAAGTATTTGGAATTACTGACTATTGAGTTAGTTTTCCATTTCTTTTTATGGGTGAGATATTCTTCACCATATGAGTTTGAATAAGGGGTAGGATCAGTGTCCTATTCCGTAACCCCTCCAGGATGTGTTGCCTCTTGGTCTCCTCTTGAATTTATAATCAGAAGAGACTTAAAAGAAGAGTTAGTGACAGAATGTTATCCTAAAGAGACGTGCAGTACACTCTTCACAGCAATATGCTGTCCTGGCCTAGATGCCATTTCTTCCCACCCTGACACCTTAGAGATCCAACCTCTAGGACTAGTGAAAGGTGTCTTGGTAGCACTCAGTTGATACCTGAGAGTTAGTTCAAACCACCAGGAGTCTCTGTGGAAGAAAGTTCTACCAATCTATTCCTGCACAGATTACAATAACCAAAATCTTTTCCATTGAGTCAATTCCAACTCATAGCAACCCTTAAGACAGAACAGAACTGCCCCATAGGGTTTACAAAGCAGTATCTTTTTGAGAACAGACTGCCATATCTTCTTTCCATAGGGTAGCTAATGGGTTAGAACAACTGACGTAGTTAGTAGTCAAGCACTTAACCATAGAAAACCCTATGGGACAATTTTATTGTCACATGGGTGTGCTGTGGGTCAGAATCATTCCGGCATTCAATAAAAACAGAAACAATGAACTTTGCCTCTTCAGTACCTGCTGAATCCATAAAACTCACTATGTTTCTATAGTCACTGCCACAGTCTTCATCATCTCCTTCCTGCCTGCCCTCTCCCCCTTCTGTTGTTTTGTGGTGAGTTCACCCAGAGAGACTTCAGAAGAAAGGCCTGCCTATCTACTTACAAAAAATCAGCCATTGAAAACCTTACGGAGGACTATTCTACCCTGACATGCATGTCATCCTCAAGAGTTGGAATTGACTAATCTGGTTCCTTTTTACTTTGGTTCTGCCTACCCCTACGGGCTGGGCACTCAATGTTTTTCCCTATAAATCATTGACCATAATTCCATCAAAGATTCCACACTGTTTATACTCAATCAAATTTTCATGACTTAAATAAATTAATTAATGGCCAAGTAAATTCTATAAATTAGAACTTATTGTAACCTGAGGCATTCTAAAATTATGTAAGATATATTAAAATTTTATGTGATAAATATCAATGTCCATTCTTGACATCTTAGAAAAGATTATGATTTACTTTAAAACCTCATCTATTTAAGTCCTAAGAATTTACCTTTCTGCTTTGAAAGTTTTCGGGCTTGAGTCTCTCCAAGAGAATTATTTTCATTAAACTGTTGGTATAGTCTTGCATGTTCAAAGTCTTTGAATTTCTCAGATTTTGTGTAAATGACAAGATCTGATAGGGCCAGAGCTATTTTCATCTTCGAAGTCTAAAATATGGAACAGTAATTTTACGTTTTGGCAGTAATCATTTGAGAAATTAATTTTCCAATCAAGAAACTACTTTCAAAGCAATGATTTTAATCTTTTCATAAGATTATTACCTCAAAAACTATTAGGATCAACTCATTGTGATGATTTCTTATGACAATAATATTTGCTGTTACTATTGTTGTTGTTGCTGTTTAGTGCCGTGGAGTAAGTTCTGACTCATAGCAACTCTGTATAGGGTTTCCAAGGAGTAGCTAGTGAGTTTGAATAACCAACATTGTGGCTCAAACCAATCTTATGGTTCTATTCTTATCTCAAATTGCTACACAAGGACTCCAAGGTATGCACACGACACGAGGATGTTTCTATGAGATAGTCTAAAGTGAAAACTCAAAATGACATATTAATATTTGGGGATGATTATTGCTACTTATTTTTTCTTAATCCTTGTGAATTATATAAGATAAGATTTGTAATCATGAATAAGTATATTCCCTGTTTTGCTTAACATTTTGGAATAGTTTCTGTTATATAGTGAACATCTGTTCTTTTGCAACCCAGCAACAATTTCCACTACACTTTTAGTGACCATTTCCCAAGATTTGTTTTAGGGAACCACATGTTATTCATGCTCAATCCATGTGCTTAGAGATGGATCTTGCAGATAGGGTTTTGATAATCACAGTTTTGCATTCCCCTAGCGGGGTACACGAACATAGCTGATTCATAGTCATTGCAAATAAAAATGGGTTGAATCTGTTGGGTGATAGGCATTCCAATGGGTTTGAACATGAAAAAATAAAAGGACAGAAGCTTTTGCAACAATCTTGCAATTAATACAGAGAAAGTGGGACCTAAAGCTGTGTTGACTTTGCTTGAGACACTATACTATGTCATGCTTGAAATTAGAATCCATTTCCTTCTACTTTTCATTTACGTCAGTCAAATAATTCCTGTTTAACCTAAACCAGCTTTATTGGTTTTATGTCACAAGCAGCCTAGTACATCTTCTTTTGTTATAATGATTTGTATACTCATAATACTACATATTAAGGAGTTCTAGTAGCATAGTGGTTACGAATCGGGCTGCGAGCCTTAAGGTCAGCAGTTCGAAACTACCAGCTGTTCCGTGGGAGAAAGATGAGGCTTTCTGCTCCCATAAAGATTTGCAGCCTCAGAAACCCTGTACAGGGTCGCTATGGGTCGGAATCGACTCAACAGCACTTAACAACAACAACAACAATACTACTACATATTAGTACATTATGTTCTGTTATGCATAAGGTCACAATGAGAACTGATTGAACTGTTTCTAACAATGTTGTTGTTGTTAAGTGCCGTCGAGTCGGATCCGACCCATAGCGACCCTGTACAGGGTTTCCGAGGCTGTAAATCTTTACGGGAGCAGAATGTCTCATCTTTCTCCCGCGGAGCGGCTGGTAGTTTCGAACTGCTGGCCTTAAGGTTCGCAGCCCGATTCGTAACCACTACGCTACCAGAGCTCCTTGTTTCTAACAATAACAATCCTATATATCAAAAACAGAGATTTCCTTTTGTATTTCTGGCAGTGTGTTCTTGAGGTTAGAGATACGTTCTCATGTATGCATCTTTTGTACACTACACACTGCCTAATATGCAAGCAGGCTTATTAAATATCTGTTTACTATAGAGTGAAAAAAAAATTTTTAAGCTAACACAGGAAAAGAGATTATGACTTTTAAATTGTCTTCTGCACTGCCAGTTTTTTCAAGATATATTTTAAATAATTGACTAGAGCTATTAAAGGGAAAATTATTTCTCCATCACAAACTTCAAATTCTCCAACAATAAGAATGAAGTGAAAACTTTTCAATCACTTGTAAGATTTCTATATAGTGATGTCTCACCTTTCTTTGGAAAAGTGTTAATCCACTTAATTCTGCTTCCTTGACTTGCTTGCTCTTTGTGGCCTCGACAACATTTTCTTTGAAAAAAACAGTATCAGATGTTGAATCTTCTTCATCTTCTTGATCTACCTCTTCTTCTAATTCCTGGACCTGGCCATGTTTGTCAGAATCTTTCCTCTCATGAGTTTCCCTTAAACTTCCTATTTTTTTGTTTTTAACCAATATTTTGAATTTTAATGCCTGCAGAGACAATTTGAAAGAAATACAATTATACCCTTTTATACATTTATAGGTAAATTTACATAATAACCATCATGAAAAGTGTCTCACAGCTTCAATTAGCCTGAAGTATTAACTTACATAATATACTCATAAGAATAAGAACATCTTTTTCTCCAGACCTCTTATAATAGAAAACAGTGATATTGTAGTATTGACAAAAAAAAAAAAAAATTACCAAAAATAGCCTTACTATGATTGAGACTTACTATAGTTTTGCTTAGTTTGCATTCCACAAGTTTCTAATGACTATGTAACTGAATTGCTTATACATGAGAAGTATATGTTAACATAGAAATATATGTCAAAGTACTTGTCATGTTATTGAAGTTACAATTTCTGGTACAAGCTTCACATCTTCACTTTCTTATCTAAAATTAAAAAGTATTAAATGAGTAACTTAACAACAAAAAGGCAAGTTACACAATCAAAAAATGGATAAAGAACCCGGCTGAAGACCTGGTTGGCCAGCAGTGTGACAAGACCTGGGGACTCTTGGGCTCAGAGTCAGAGACATAGCCACAAAGGACTAGAGTGGAGAGTGAAGTGTCCAGCTGATAAAAAGAGAGGGCATATGCATAAGAACACCCACACTTGCAGATAATACCCACTTGTCCTGGCTTCAATGACTGGATGATCAGAGCTCAACCAGAAGTAAAAAGAAGAGGGAAAAAAAAAAAAAGTATTCTCATACAATTTGATGAACTTGACCTACACCTATGGAAGCACTTAACTCAAAAGAGGAACAAGTCCTAACAGCAAGAATCATTCCCACACCCTCCACACATAAAGTAGACAGGGATGGGCAACTTGGACATTGGCTACCCAAAATGGGGGGCAGGGGGCTACAAAGGCAAGAAGTGACTGGCTTACAAGCTTTCAAGAGGGAACCTAGATCCAGAGGGCCTGGAGGAAGGTAGAATCTCCAGTGAATAGTATTCAATCTGTCTAGCAGGGCTGATGCAATGAAATACAGACAGGTCTCTTGTGATACAATAGTGAATAATTGTTATCAGTACTGATTGTGAGGGTTGGAAATGTAAAGGTAGACATTTTATAGCAAGGAGGGGAGTGATTAACTTTTCAGTCTAGGAGTGGAGGTCCCTAGGACCATCAAGGGAGAAGAGCAGAGAGCAGGACCCTACCCAGAGAAGTAGTGATGCCTGAAATGGAGCCAGAGATGATGACTTGGAGCGACGGGGCAGCTGGAGACTTTAGATCCAGAGAGGGAGAGCAACTGTGTGCTGAAGACCTGTGAGGTACGGGGGAAGGATTGCATGGAGGGGATTGTAACCATGGCAATGAGATGATATACGATAGGATTAATGTAAGACTGATGTTCTCCCATGTAAACTATCACATAATTCACAATAAAACATTAAAAAAAAATGGATAAAGAGCATGAACTGATACTTCATCAGAAAGAATATTCCAACAGCCAAGTCGCTCTTTGTCATTAGTCATTGTTGTTGTTAAGTGCCCTCCAGTCACCCTGCATAGGGTTTTCAAGGAGCAGCTGCTAACTTTGAACCACAGACCTTGAGATTCAAACAGACCTTGCAGTCCAGTGCGTTAACCCGCAGCACCACATTGTTGTTGGTGTGGTTAAGTGCTGTCAAGTTGGTTCTGACCCCTAGCCATCTGTTAAAGGGTTTTCAAGGAGTGGCTGGTGAATTTGAACCACCTAATTAGTTTGGTGAAAAGTGTCTGGGTCTGAAATCTTACAAGAGGCCTCCTTAAACACACAGAAAAAAAATGAAGAAAAGAAAAAAGGTGTTCCCAGTACTGAGAGCTGCTGAGGGACGTATGAAGACTGAGATAGTTCCATTAAGATTTAGCCATATGAAGTCTTGAATGACCACAATGAGAAGTGGCACAGTTAGAAGAGGAAGCTTAAGTGAGTAAAAAATGGAAAAGTTAGGCTTTTATAGAGAAGAATGAAATAAACAGGTAGCTGAAAATGGAAGTGAAAATCTGAGGATAGCAATGTAGTACATTTTTAAGTCAAATACTTGAATATGCTCAAATGAAGACAGAAAGAGACCAGTGTTGCTAGTGTTGCTGCTGCTGCTATGCTGCTGAATGCTGTCAGGTTGGTTCCTACTCAAAGCGACCCTGTATAGAATTTCTCCCGCCGAGTGACTGGTGTTTTCAAATTGCTGACTTTGTGGTCAGCCCAACGTGTAGCCCACTACACTACCAGGGATCCTAAAGAGACACTAGAGTCAAGGAAATTGAAAAAAATTGTACAAGGAAAAAACAGAATCTTCCAACTAGGTGATGAAAAACTTGGAATGGACTCTAATCCATTTATAGCATAGATCTTCAGACTCTTTCTTAACCTATTATGTAGAAAACATAATATTTATGAAATATCAGGCCAAACTTCCATAGATTCATTTTAATTGACTTGAGATTTTAGACTCACAAGTTATTAAGCAAAATTTAAATGTAGAGTTTTGTATATATCTCTATACAGTCTGTTTCCCAAATAAAAATAAAACCCTGTTGCTGTAGAGTTGATTTCAAATCATGGCGACCTCGTGTGTATCAGAATAGACCTGTGCTCCATAGGATTTTCAATGGCTGATTTTTCAGAAATAAATCTCCAAGCCTTTCTTCTGAGGTGCCTCTGGGTGGACTTGAATTTCCATTTTCCAACAGTTAGTACCCTATCTGGTACGTTAAGCATTTGCATTATCCAGAGATTTTCTTTATCAACTACATGTGTTGTTGTTGTTAAGTGTTGTTGAGTTGGTTCCGACTCATATAGATTCTGCAAGGGTTTCCAAGGAGCCGCTGGTGAGCTTGAACTGCTGACCTTGTGATTCAAACCAGCTGTGCAGTCTAATGCATTAATCCATAGTGTCACACACACCAAGATTCCAACTACATGTGCATTAATCTAAACATTCATTGAAACATTTCCTAAGTAACACATTACAACATATATCTTTAGAAATCATCAAAACTAAACATTTTTCCTTCCTCTTTAACCTTGTTTCATGGGACAGTATAATAGTGACTTTTTTTTTCTTTCTAAAATTGAGTTTCCCAGATAAAACATTACCTCTGGTGATGGTAGTTTGTCTGGAAAATCGTCAAGTACATCTGAAAGCAGAGTATCCCCTAAAATTGCTTGCAAATTATCTGCCATCACTTCCTGTTGGGCAGGAGAGCAGTGATTTTCTAAAGAGAGCACCACTGGGTAGTCAGATGTCTAAAAAATTAATCATTACTAAGGTTACTGATCAGAACTTCTGAATGATTTGATTGCAACTAATATATGTACTTAATTTACTTTAAGATGTACTTCCAGTGGTCAATACATTTACAAAATAAATAAGTACTCTTAAAACTACAAATACTTTTAAGTTTGACGAAGGTGAGACCATTAAATCTGTATTAAATAGAAAATTATTATTATATGAACTAGAGGTATAGGAAATAACTGAGGCAGCTAGTAATGACTACTGTTTAGATAAATTATGACATATTCATATAAAGAAATTATATAAATCCATCAAGAAAGAGATACTATTGCTGTAAGGGTTGTCAAGTCAGTTCTGACTCATAGAAGCCCAGTACAGGATTTCTGAAGAGCAGCTGGTGGGTTTGAACTGCCAACCTTGTGGTTCACAGTCCTGTGCTGATTCTACAGTGCCACACCAGGAGTCCAAAAAAATAAAAAGAAAGAGTATAAATATTGCTACAGAGCATTATTTATGCTATAGTCTTATGAAGAAAAGTTGTCAAAGAATAGAATTATAAATTCTAAAGTACACATATATATTTCCTTATTATATAATATTTTCTTTTGATATTTTTAAAGTGAAATAATTAAGTATTGATAATATGTTCACTATTACCTAGACATGTTTTATTTCTGTTTTATAACTCACAATAAAAGTATACACATACAAACAAAAAATTCTATTAAACATGTACCCTTATTACATAAAAGTAACCGATAAATCTTCCTTTAACTATACAGTACATTAATTTCATTATCTAAAAATGGATCATAATCTACAATTTGAAATACCCTGATTTAAATTAAGACCAGGCATTACAGGACTTTAAAGGAACTATGATTGATTCTCTTTAAATAACTATAATTTAACAGAACTACATACATACCATAAATGCATATTTGTGTATCACTTGGATGACAGTTTTAAATAGAATCTTGCTAGTAAGTGTATAACCATGATATACAATAGGCTCATTTTGTGCTCCATCCCAACAATCAATTTCCAGACAACGGCATCCTTTCACAAGGGCACTAGGAAAATTCAATCAAAATAAAGCATCACTCCTAGATCATCAAAAATCTATACTGAAATATCAAAATATTTCTGACTATTGTGATTTTGTAATGAATGCATAAATGAATCTATAAAAAGGACAAATTTTGAAAAATATACATAGCAATAAGTGGCTTTGTTTTTATTATATACATGTTGTTGCTAAGTGCCATCAAATCAGTTCCAATCCATAACAACCCTGTATAGGGTTTCCAAGGAGTAGCTGGTAGGTTTGAACTATTGACCTTGTGATTAGCAGTCCAGTGTTTATCCTACACCACATTATATACATATGCAAGTGTATGTATATACTTGTATACATTTACACATATATATTCAAGTATATATAACATTGGATATACACACACACATTGTGTTGAACTGAACACGCTTTTCTTATTATTTTATTTTCTATGTATTGTTTTACATACAGCTAGTGTGTGCCAACCATAGTGCCTGTATACCCAAGATACTGCAATGTTGAATATTATGGACTCTGAATCCTGAAATAACTCCTTATTCTTTGCTCTCTAATTTCTATATAACCAGGAACTGAAATCAGTCTCACAAATAGTGTTTCATATATAATTGATTCTCAATAAATGTTGTGTTTCTATTAGCAAAAGAAAAAAAATGAGAATTATATGGATATAAGCAGAAAACTAGAAGGCAGAAAGAGATGATCATGCTTATGTTCAAACTTGGAAGTAATAAAACTGAATCAAAAGAGGGCTGACTTTTAACAGTAGGCTCTTTGGATTGATGCTCATACATTGTTGTTGTTGGGTGCTGCAATGCAGTGAATTAGTTTGGCTTTTCTAGCTCTAATCTTTGTAACTCCCACCATTTTTTGTAACTTTTTTCTGATGGGTCTGGGTAAGAGAAGGTGGGGGAAGACACTGATGGGATTATATAATATAGTTGTGATTATAATTGTGATTACAATCACAAGGGTACTTGGAACTCTGACATGAAGACTGGTTAATTTTGCTATCCTTTTGAGTATAAAATGAGCCATCTCAAAAGCAAGAGAGGAGGATCTTACTACCATTAAGGAATAAGAGCCAGAAGTGAAGTATGTCTTTTGGACCCAAAGATCCCTGAGCATTGAACCTTCTTAGTCAAGGAAAGAAAACTGCCACACCAGAGAATCTGCCGAGCAACAGCAGCAGCAAAACTAAGAGCCAGAGCCTGATCAAGAGAAGTGGGCTTCCTTTCCCTCAAAGCAAGTAAAGCCAAGTCCATTCAGTCAGGAGGATTGGTGGTAGAATGAGGTGTCTCCAGCATTTCTATTTTAATCTAGCGAGCTAGGTTTGCTGACTCACAGAAATAGAGCTGAGAGCATTTACACTAAGGTCTATAACTGATTGAAGTATCACCTTTGGACATTTATTGGCAATCCTAATAAACTCTTTAACATTGCCTAAGCAGGACTAAGGTCTGGTCATTGGGCCTATGGCCAGAGAGAAGCCTGACTGTGGACATGAAAGAGAAGAGAAAGAACTATATCTTGAACATTTCTAGTCTTGATTTATAGCCTCTTCACTTCCCTAATATACCCCATAATCATAAATATAGTCTGTGAGTTCAGTGTGGTCGTTGCAATGAATAATTGAACCTACCAGAAAACAGAGTGCTGTGGTACGAAGAACATCAGAATTAGTAAATGAGGAAAGAAGGTGGAGGCATGTCTGACCTCAGCCTCATAGGAACCAGCATTGGACTTATGATGATTTTTAATTTGATTCTCCTCCCATCACCCCAATATAATCAGAGGTGGCCAGACGCTCTCATCCCCACTCCACTTCTTTCAGGTACCATTAAATCTGTTTGATTCACACTAACCATGTGATAGAATAAAGCTGCCCCACAGGGTTTTCTTGGCTGTAACTTTTACAGAAGCAGATTGGCACTATTATGTACCTCAGAGCCACTGTTATGTTATTGTTATGTGCTGTTGAGTCATAGTGACCCTGTATAGGGTTTCCAAAGAGCAGCTGGTAGATTTGAGCTGCCCACCTTGTGATTCACAGTCCAATGCTGAACCTATAGCACCACACCAGGAGTGAGTTCAAGCCACTAACTTATTTTTTTCCAAGGTTGGCAATCTTTATTTTATTTTTGTAATGCTTTATTGTGAATAATGTGATAGTTTACATGGGAGAACATCAGCTTCACATTGATCCCATCGTATATTGTATCCTTGGCATGGTTACAATCCCTTCCATGCATCATCCATCAACCAAAGGGTATACCCCGCAAGCCTGCCCCCCGTTCGTCCACATACTGCCCATCTCTCTCTCTCTCTGGGTCCAAAGTCTCCAGCCACTCCATATCCCCACATCATCATCTCTGCTTCCATCCCTGGCATCACTGCTTCTCTGGGTAGGGTTCAGATCTCTGCTCTTCTCCTTTGATGGTCCCAGGGACTCCGCTCATAGATTGCAAGGTTAATCCCTTTGCCCCCAAACGTCTGCCTTTACATTTCCAGCCCTTACAATTCAGTCTTGATAACAATTATTCACTATTGTATCCCAAGAGACCTATCCACATCTCCTTTCATCAGCCCTGACTAGGCAGAATGGATACTACTCAGTGAAGATTCTAACTTGCTCCATGCCCTCTGGATCTAGGATCCCTCTTGAAACCTTTTAAGTCAGTCACTTCTTGCCTCTGTACCACCCCACCCCCTCATTCTGGGTAGCCAATGTCCAAGTTGCCCATCCCTGTCCTCTCTGTGTGCGGAGGAGGTGGGAATGATCCTCACTGTGAAGATCTATTCACTCTTTTGAGCTATTGCTTCCATAGGTGTATGTTAAGTTCATCAAATTGTATCAGATTATCCTTTTTTCCTATTCTTTCTTCTTCTGGATGAGCTCTGATCATCCAGCCATTGAAGGCAGGTCAAGTGAGTATTATCTGCAAGTGTGGGTGTAGTTATGCATGTGCCTTCTCTTATCAGCTGTATTCTTCACTCTCCACTGTAGTCCTCTGAAGCTATCAACTTGTTTATTTAAAGTCAAGGTTTAACACCTGTAAAAGCTGTGCCACCAGGTATCTGCTCATAGAAAGAAGCCTTTACTGTACATAGAGATATTTCCCCATAAAAAACTAAGTCAACACTAGTTTTCCAAGAGGTATATTAAATTACTCCACTGTCCCTCAACCACAGGTTCTAATTCAGGGCAGTTTGCCTCCCTGAAGAGTCATTTGGCACTGTCTGAAGTCATTTTTAATTCTCCTATCTAGACCAAGGAGGTACATGTGGTTTAATATGGTGGGAATAAAAAATTCAAGATGAATGGTGTCACACTCGTCAGTAAAAAGAGGATTTCAAGATCTTGAAGTACAGTGCTCCTGTGATAGGATAATATCTGTTCACCTACAAAGAAGACCAATTAATATGACTATTCTTAAAATTATGCACCAACCACTAAAGCCAATGATAAAGAATTTAAAGAATTCTATCAATATCTTCATTCTGATATTGATCATATATGCAATCAAGATGCATTGATCATTTGGTGATTGGAATGCACAAACTGGAAACAAAGAAGAATAATCAGTAGTTGGAAAACATGGACTTAGTGATAGAAACTATGCTAGAGATCACAGGATGTTATTTTGCAAGATAAATGACTTAATATTGCAAATACCTCTTTTGCAACAACATAAAAAGAGTTACTATATATGTGGACCTCATCAGATGGAATACACAGGAAACAATTGACTAATATCTATGTTGTTGTTGTTGTTGTTAAGTACCATGGAGTCAGTTCTAACTCACAGTGACCCTGCACAGGGTTTCCAAGGCTGCAAATCTTTGTTGTTGTTGTTAAGTACCATCGAATAGGTTCCGACCCATAGCGACCCTGTACAGGGTTTCCTAGGGTGTAAATCTTTACAGGAGTAGAAAGCCTCATCCTTCTCCTGTGGAGCAGCTGGTAGTTTCGAACCGCTGACCTTAAGGTTCGCAGCCCGATTCGTAACCACTACGCTACCAGAGAGCAGAAAGCCTCATCTTTCTAAGGCAGAACAGCTGGTACTTTCAAAATACCGACCTTGAGGTTAGCAGCCCGATTCGTAACCACTAAACTACCAGAGCTCCTTACTAACATCTGTAGGAAGATAGAATAGAAAAGCCAAAACAAAGGCAGGGGCTGACTATGGAACAGACCATCAATTTCTTATATGCAAACTCAGGCTGAATCTAAATAAAATTAAAACAAGTCTCTGAGAGCCATATCATTGAGCATATCCAATTGAATTTAGAAGCTATCTCAAGAACAGATTTTGTCCATTGGTCACTAATGATTGACTACTAGAGGAGTTCTGGCTCCTCTAGTTCAAGAACACCATACAGGAAAAAAGCAAACGTTCATTTAAAAGACAGGAAAGAAAGAAAAGACAAAAATAGATGTCAGAATGTACTCTGAAATTTGTTCTTGAATGTAGAGAAGCTAAAGTAACTGGAAGAAATGTTGAATTAAAAGAGTTAAATAGAAAATCCCAAAGGGTATTTTAAGACAAAATATTATAATGAAATATGCAAAGGCCTGGAGTCAGAAAACAAAGAGGGAAGAACATGCTCAGCATTTCTCTTGCTGAAAGACCTGAAGGGAAAATTCAAGCCACAAATTGCAACATTGAAGGATTCTGTGGGCAAAATCTGAAATAACATAGGAATCATCAAAAGAAGATGGAAGGATTACAGAAAGTCACTGTACCAAAAAGAACTGATCAGTGTTCAATTACTTCAAAAGGTAGTAGTATATGATTAAGAACCAATGGTATTGAATGAAGGAAAACACATTGCATTGAATTAACTGGTAATAAACAAGACTCCAGGAATTGGCAGAATACGAATAGAGAAGTGTTTCAACAAACTTATGTAGTGCTGGAGGTGTTCACTCGTTTATGCCAATAAATTTGGAAGACCTGGCTAACTGATTTGAAGAAATCCATATTTGTACCCATT